AGTGTCCAGTCAGTGTGTCTGGACTGTATTAACCCCTCTCTCTCTCTCAGTCCCAGAGTCTGAGCAGTGCAGTTCAGTGTGCGGAGAGCCGGGTCAGTGAGCTCCAGGTCCGGATTGAGGAGCTGCAGTGGGACATGGAGAAGATCCGCCGGCGGGAGAACAGGCTGAACGCTCACCTGGGGGAGGTGCTGGAGAGGGTGAGCAGGGGTCAGAGGAGGGGAGAGTCAGTTCCCGAACGGTGCTGTGTTCAGATCCCCCTGTGCGCCTGTCTGCCGGTGTGACCTGGCTCTCTCTCTGCGCAGGTGAACAGTAAGGGCTATAAGGTGTGTGGAGAGGCCAGCAGTGTGTGTGGGACCATCACCATCAACAAAAGGAAGGTGAGTGAGGCAGCGCCTGCGGAGTCTCGCAGAGCCATGAGCGTTTCACGAGCCCAGACAAGGGAGCGTAAGAAACGTCAATGGCAGCCTGCTCCTTCATTGCTTTAACGAAAACTGTTTCTCGTGGCTCGTACAGCTCCAGACTTCTGTCTGCCGTCAGCTCCTGGCTGTTGGTGGTTCGACCTTCACACGCCCACCAGAAAGAGCACCGGTTTATACAGAGAGGATCTGTTCAGACAGCAGGGTCATAGCCGTCCTCTCAGATGAGAGTTAGCCGTCACGGTTCCGAATGAAAGGAGGTTGTCAAGCCCTTCCTGCCTGCTTGGCGGTCAGCTGGATGACAACCCCGGATCGGGTATCTAGTGTTTCTTGAGAGAAGTAATAATAATATCATCACTTTATTAACCCTTTACAAATTCTTGCATTAGGGATTTTCTTTTCTCATACCCCAGCTTGCTCTCCATGAGACACACAGACAGGGAGAGTGAAGTTTGGGGTCAGTCACACAGGGTCAGCCATTTATACAGCCCCCCTGCAGCAACTGGGATTAAGGGCCTTGCTCAGGGGCCCAATAGAGTAGGATTCCTCTGCCGGCTGCGGGATTTGAACCGGCAACCTTCCAGCCACAAGCACAGATCCTCAGCCACAGAGCCACCACTCCGCCCCTAAGCGAGGGTGTCGGCTTCATCAGCATGGCTGGGTGAAGGAGCCGCGAGGACGGGGTCATGGCCGTCGCGAGAGGAGACGGGCAGACCCGGCGGTCACTCCCGTGCGCTGGCCCGACCGGGAATAACCTGCTCCGTGTTCTGTTTCCTGGTGTCCCGCCCTCCCTCTGCGCCCAGTTCGAGGAGATGAACAGTGAGCTGGAGGAGAACCGAGAGCTGGCGGAGAATCGTCTCAGCGAGCTGCAGAGGCTGACTCAGGACCTGCAGCAGATCAGCCAGGAGAACAACAGCATGAGGGTGAGGCTCTGCAGGGCGGCGAGGTCATACTCGCAGCCATATCACCCTGCAACTCACAACTGGCAACCCACTGAAGCTAAGCAGGTGTGAGCCTGGTCAGTACCTGGATGGGAGACCTCCTGGG